AATAAATTATGCAAACATGAAAAAATAATCATAATATTCCACAGGCTCTGCTGGGAATAGTGTTTATGTTAATAGTGTTCATAATAATGTAAACTCACAATAATCATTTAAACAAAATTATGTCACTATAAAGGAAACATGGAGAAATAGGTTTTTTTTTAATTTTTAAAGAATGTATGGAAATATAATAATCCTATCTAATAAAAGAGTGATATGCAGATTGACCACCACTCCAACACATAAGATCCTGCCCCCATGTGGACACAAGATGGCCACCACAAGATGGCCAGCAGGGAAGGGCAGATGGGGGAGTGGGGGGGAGGGGGATGACCCAGGCCTGCAGTGGAGAACAGTTGTGGGGGACCAGGCCTGCAAGGGAGAGAAGTTAGGGGTCATCAGGCCGGCAGAGGAGGGAAGTTGGGGGTGACTAGGCCTGCAGGGAAGGGCAGTTGGGGGGGACCCAGGCCTGCAGTGGAGAGCAGTTGGGATGGGGGGACCAGGCCTGCAGGGGACGGCAGTTAGGGGCAAACAGGCCTGCAGGGAACTACAGTTAAGGGCAAACAGGCTGGCAGGGGAGCAGTTAGGCATCAATTAGGCTGGCAGGGGAGTGGTTAAGGGGTGATCAGGCTGGCAAGCAGAAGCAGTTAGGGGCAATCAGGAAGGCAGGCAGGCGAGCAGTTGGGAGCCAGCAGTCCTGGATTGTGAGAGGGATGTCCGACTCCTGTTTATCCCTTGAGGGGTCCCAGATTAGAAAGGGTGCTGGCTGGACTGAGGGACACCTTCGCCCCCACCACATGCACAAATCAACCTAACAGCAGAATGATCAGTTGCTCAATGCAGGAGCTTCCCCCTGGTGGTCAGTGTGCTCCCATGGGGGGAGCGACACTCAGAGAGAAGCCTCTCCCACCTCCGATGCAGGTGGGCAGTAAGGAGCAAGGGGTCCTACACTGTGAGAGGGATGACTAACTGCCAGCTTAGGCCCAATCCCAGGATCGAACAGGCCTAGGCTGGCAGGTGGACATCCTCCAAGAGGTCCGGGACTGCAAGAGGGTGCAGGCCAGGCCGAGGGACCACCACCTCCCCCCCCCAGTGCATGATTGTCGTGCACCGGGCCTCTAGAAATATATATAATTATGTAGGTAAATAACAAGAAAAAGCTTAAAGAACTGAAAGTAGTTGTCTCTGAGTATGGATGGGGAGAGACCTCATTTTAACTGACTCTTTTTCTGACTTTTACCAATGGTTTTTATAAAAATCAAACCTTAAACATAAAATATAAGTTGTAAAGGCACTGATCAGAGATTTGTTTTTAGAAGGCATGGTCTGTACTGGCTGAGAAATCTTAAAACATGAGTCCAAAAAAATTAGAGTCATCTTAGGTTCCAGTGATCTTTGAATTATGTTAGTATCACTCATTTGTCTCACATTTTGATTGCTGGCTTTATTTCTGACTCTGATGGTCTTTGGTAAATGTTGAAGGTAGGACAATTTCTTCAATAGTGTCTTTTTCTTCAAAAAATCACTTTTCCCTTTGTGGCCAGGAATCACTTCCCAGGGTAAAGATACCATTGCATAGACATTCATTTCCTTAAAAACCCTGTTTGGTTACTGATAGACATCTAGTAAATGGTCTCTAATATCACCTACCTTTTCTGAAAAAACCCTTAATGCTCTGCATCAGTGCTCATAGCTCTCATCCCTAGATTCTAATGACTCCTTCAAACTATATATGTTCACGTATAACATTAACAGAAAAATAAAAGCTAAAGATAAACTTCACTCGTTTACTGCTAGCAACAGCTGATCCTTATGGAGTGTTTACCATGTGCAACCCACCATCCTAGGCCCTTTATACAGTATATTAAAAGTCATTCAACCTTCTGAACTACCCTAATAGTTAGGTAGTACAAATATCCCCATTTGATTTGCTAAGGAAAATTAAGCCAGTTTCAATGGGTCACAAAGACAGTAATAGCAGAACCAGAATTAGGTCCAGCAAATTTTGACTCTAGAGTCTTTATTCTTTTATTTATTTACTAATGGTCCGGTGCACAAAATTTGTGCACATTAAAATGGGATTAACTAGAGGAAATAATTTAATATTGCTATTTGCCCTTTCTCTATAATAGAAGTGTCAGAGATGGAAGAAAATTAGTAAAATGTATATGAAAACCTTCATCTTGTCAAAGTCTGGAGCACACCACAGGATCCAGAGTCAAATACCGGCCCACCTGTATGCGCCTCAAAATCACGTCAGACCCAGAACCAGCCGGCCCCCACCACCACTGGCCTAGATCCAGAACCAGCCAGTCCCACCCTTGTCAAGCCCAGCCGGGCAGGAGACATAGCTTCAGGTCCCCTGGCCCGGCACCAGGACAGGGGGCATGGCCTGAAGTCCCCCAGCCCAGACTGGGGCAGGGGGCAAGCCCTGCCAGGTGGGGGACATGGCCTGAGGTCCCCCATTAAGCCTTGCCAGGTGGGGGGGGGGAAGGATGCAGCATCAGGTCTCACATCAAGCCCCACCAGCTGGTGGGGGCATGGCCTGAGTTCCCCCGACCAGTACTGGGGGTGCACCTTGAGGTCTCCTGTCAAGCCCCGCTGGGTGGGGAGCACGGCCTGAGGTCACCTGTCAAGCCCCACCTAGTGGGGGGCGAGTCCTGGCACTGGGGCAGGGGGAGCAGCCTGAGGACCCCTAGCCCAGCACCAGGACAGGAAGCTCACCTTAAGGTCCCCGTCAAGCCCCGCCTGGTGGGGGGGCGTGGCCTGAGGGCCCAGGTTTGGTGCCAAGGCAGGGGGCATGGCCTCAGTTCCACCAGCCTGACGCCAGGGTGGGGGATGCAGACTGAGGTCCCCTGTCAAGCCCCATTGGGGCAGGGGAGGGCAAAGCTCAGGTCCCTGCTGATTGCTCATTAAGGCTCCTTATGGGAACCTGGCTTCAGTTGTGGGTGCAGCCATCTTTGTAATGGAGTGATGGTCAATTAGCATATTCCCTCTATTAGATAGGATTTGTTTGTTTATTTAAGTTTTACCATTTTATAGATTAATGAATCATTATCTTAAATAGAAAGCAACTGTTATATTATCTTGGTAATTTATAAATATGATCAACTCAAAGAATATAAAACATTGAAGCATTTTTTAAAATCCTCACCCAAGGATATTTTTTCCTTTGGTTTCTAGAGAGAGTAGAAAGGAGGGAGTTGGGGGTGAGGGGGAAAAGAGAAAAACATTGACATGAGAGAACACATGGATTGATTGCCTCCTGTACTTGCCCCTACTGGGCCCATGACCCAGTACATGCCCTTGACCAGGGATGGAACCCGTGATTTTTCGATCTGCAGATTGAGCAGGGCTAGAATCCTTGTTCTTTACCCTTCTACCAAAACACTTCTAATGATTTGTACAAAATGGAATTTTCAACAAAATGAAATTTTAAAATGCCGAAAAACAATTCCATTTCTTTCTTCCTTCTGCCTGTCTCTTCCTCACTAAATTTATGGTATATTACTATTCATTTTTAAATACAAACTTTCATTACAACACTTGTAAACTTAAAGGCATGAAAGAAGTTCTCCCAATAACAATAAAATAATTCACCCACTTAAGGTCTTATATGAACAGGCACTCAGATTAACAATATAATTCAGTCATTTAGATTTAGTTAAAATCCTTTAATTCCCTATGCATAAAATGTAAATTTCATCTTTTTTAAATATTTTAAATTATAAATATGATCAACTCAAAGAATATGAGTTGTTAGTTTTCCTTTGCTTTTTTTTTTTTAAATATATTTTTACTGATTTCAGAGAGGAAGGGACAGGAAAATATAGAAACATCAATGATGAGAATCATTGATCAGCTACCTCCTGCATGCCCCCAACTGGGGATCAAGCCTGAAATCCAGGTATATTCGCTGACCTTGACCTCCTGGTTCATAGGTCAACACTCAACCACTGAGTAACATTGGTTGGGCTTTCTTGTTTTTAGAAGAAAAATAATTTGAAAACTAAAAACTATCCTGACCTTGAATGCATATATGAATAACCCATAGATACAGACAATAGGGTGCTGAAGGCCTAGGGTCAAAAGGGAAGGAGGGACCAGGCTGGAAGAGGTTAATGGGGGGGCAGGACATATGTAATACTTTCAACAATAAAGAATTATTTTTTTTTTTTAAATCCTGATAACCTCAGCACAGGAATAATTAAATTAGGTTTCATCCAGAAATATTTTGCAAGTTTAGAAAGGATAATATGAAACTGAGGTAACACTAAAAAATCATTATGATACAATGTTAACTGGAAAAAGATAAAAGTTGTATGTTCACTATAAACAACTTCATTTTTAAAAATGTAGACATGGCCTTAGTCAGTCTGGTTCAGTGGCTAGAGCCTGCAGACTGAAGGGTCCCAGGTTCTATTCTGGTCAGGGGCACTTGCCCGGGTTGTGGGCTCGATCCCTAGTGTTGAAGTAGCCAATCAATGATTCTCTCTCATCAGTGATGTTTCTATCTCTCTCTTCCTCTCTCTTCCTTTCTGAAATCAATAAAAATATATTTTTAAAATGTAAGCATGACCCTGTCCAGTGTGACTCAATTGATTGGAGCATCATCCCTATTCCCAGTTAGGGTGCATGTAGCGGGCAGCCAATTGATGTTTCTCTCTCACATCAAATTGTCTCTTTCAAATCAATAAAAAAACAACAACATAGGCATGTAGAAAGGTAAAAATAACTAGTAGTTGCATTAAGGTAGACTAATGATTAATGGCCCTTTTTAGTTTTGCAGTAACATTTTCAAAAAGTTTAAAGACAAGATGTTAGGTGACTCTGGAAATGTTCTAAAACTAGAACATTGTGATGACAGTCCACACCTCTGTAAATTAACTAAAACATCACTAAACTATACACTTAAAATAGATGAATTTTATGGCTTATAAGTTATACCTCAATAAAGTTATTTTTTTAAATGTTAGGGAAAATAATCTTTCTACAATACTCACATGAGAAAACTCAGGCTGGGATGGGATAGGAAGTGACCCAGGAGTGAAGACTGGTGTGCTCTGAGACACTGGTGTTGAGGCTTGTGGTGAAATAGTGGGCTCAGGTGGGAAAGGGAGGTTTTCTATCTCCACTGGTTCATCATCTTTAAGTTTCTTCTGAAAAGACTCTCTTCCTTCTTCAGATAACACTGACATATCCATTGGCTCATCTGGTTTAAAAAAGATAAAACTAATTTAGAAATAAGCACTCATTAATACTTCTAATACCATTAATAAAAATCCTATATAATAAAAGCCTAATATGCTAAGTGTTCAGTCATCCATTGAACCAATCAAAGAGTAATATGCTAATTATATGCTAAGGCCTCTCAACCACTCATTATTATATGCACTGACCACCAGAGGGCAAACACTCTGACTGGTAGGTTAGCTTGCTGCTGGACTCCTGCCGATCCAGACAGAGCAAGGAGGGCTGAACATGCCCTGGAGCCCTCCAGCAGTCCCTCCCTAGCTGGCCAACCTCCCGTGTCCCTTCCTGACCTTGGTTGTGCACTGGTGGAGTCCCATGGCCTGGTCTGTGCCTTCTCACAATCAGGAACCCCTTGGGGGATGTCGGAGAGCCAGTTTCAGCCCAATCTCACAGGCAAGGCCGAGGGACCCAACTGGTGCATAAATTCATGCACTGGGACTCTAGTTACATTATAGAAATTTCCATTCCTAAAAAAAAAACACTGACATAATTTTCAGAAAAGCTGATAAATTGACTGGGCCATCAAAATCTGAAATACTTCATTCCCCAAGCTCCCAAAATAGTCAGTTACAGATTTAAATAGGGTTCACCTGGGGATAACCACCCATCTACATGAAATGTTAAAACTTCTGATCCTCTTTCCTGATTATAACTCATTTTTCACATTTTGCATAAAAAAGCCCAAATTAATGGCACTTAATTTAACCATCATATATTCTGTCACAGGCCTTGAAAGGTAGTGAACTTGTTCACCATTCTAAATAAATATTTACATGTTTATGAACTTATTATATTTGCATTAATTGCTAAGTACAGAAAGATGGGTACCAGGACAAATACAGAAGAAAAAAAAATCTACCAATGCCAATCAGCACTGATATATCAAATAACTATGTACAAAACACTAATCCTAAGACAAATTGCTTAGGAGGGAAACTTACACAAACCTTGTTTTCCCACCTGCAGGTCACCAGCATCTTCCTCAGAACCTAACTAGGTGTTTGATTCATCAATCCTTTCCCCTCTATCTTACAACTTGATTCTAAAGAGACGTCATCCAAACCAGTGAGTTTTTCAACCAGTGTGCTACAAGAATTATTTTTAATATATTTGTATTGATTTCAGAGAGGAGGGGAGTGGGAGAGAAAAAGATAAAAATAAAAACATCAATAAGAGAGACACATCGACTGGTTGCCGGACCTGTGATTGAGTGCAGCCAAGGTATGTGCGCTTAACTGAAATCGAACCCAGGACCCTTCAGTCTGTAGGCTGACACTCTATCCACTGAGCCAAGCCAGCCAAGCCAGGGCATACAAGAATTTCTAAAACATGCACTACCTGACTATTTAATCAAGGCCACTGACCTCTTTTCCTTTAGCTTATCAAATAAAAGAAATGACAACAGCCAACACAATAGCCATCTGATGTGAATGATCTGTCTGAACCACAGATATATAGGTCATATAATAGAGTTGCATCTTATTGGTCATGTCGCCTAGTAAGGTTGAAACTGATTGGTTAATTCTTGGTACCAGAGACCCATATATATAAAGTATAAGCACCTGATTTTTTAAAAAGTCAATGTGGAGCAAAAAAGAGTAGGAATTCCTTTTTGTTTTGTTTTGTTTTTTGTAAATCAATGAAAGTTATACCTATTTTTTTATTAGATGGGCAAAAAAAATACATTTTTTGGTGTGCCACAGAATTTTAGTAATTAGTTTATGTGAGCCATGAGGATAAAAAAAGTTGAAAATCGCTGCTCTACACCATTTTCACAAACTACCTCTGCCACTCAGTTTTTTCCTATCATCCACTCTCATGTTACCAGCTAATCCCAACCCCAATACCAACCCCTTGCTGCTTACTTGGCTTCAACCTCACCTTGCATTCTAATTCTAGGTTTGGTCAGGATCTGGGGCTATATGCCTTTATTATACCACCACAACTGTGTTAAATATTCCCATTATACTTTTTTATCTTTCTCACCATGACAAAGCACTTATTAAGGACCTGCTGCTCTAAGCACTACATATAAAAAGGCTTTAGGTTAATAATCTTAGCAAAAAACAAAACTACAAAAAGTATACGTAGTCCTACAAACAGTTATGAACAAGTATTAAACAAATACATTAAATCTAAAATACAATTGACAAGGGAAATATGCTACATAAAACTAAAGAACTCTGAATCATATACATAATATGACCCCAAATGTGTAAGATATTTCTTTATATTTATGGATAGAAAATACTCTGAAAGGAAATTATCTAAATATTAATACAAATATATATATATATATATATATATATATATATATATATATATATATATATATATAAAAGGCTAAGTGACCTACCATACATACAGGCCAGTACATATGACTCATACTGGCAATTTAAAAATAAACATTGACTCACACATGCATGATGTCTGTCCCCATCTGACACTGGCCTCCCATTTAAGTTAATTCAAACACAGTTTCCCATGATGCCAGCATTTGCAATGATTATTAATAAATCACAAGGACAAACTCTGCCTGAACCCATTTTTGGACATGGTCAGATATATGTTGCTTTCTCTTGAGTTTGAAGAGCGTGTGATGTTAAAGCTGTAAATACTTCATCACAGAGAAATTACTCAAGTACTCCGGAAGTGTTTTTACTCTTAATGTGGTATACAGGGAGATATCAAGAATAAGTTTAATCAATTTATCAATCATTGTTTTATCAATGTTGTTGTTATGTCATGTTGTTAGTGTTTATGTATTAATCAATAAATAAGCTAGTTTTAGTTATATCTGGATTGTGGAATCACAGGTGGTTTTTATTTTCTTCTCATTTTATTTTCTTTTCTTATCATTATCATTATTCCTATATGCTTTTCAAACTCTCTGCAACGAGTATAGGCATACTTCATTTTATTGCACTTCACTTTATTGTGCTTCACAGATGTTGCATTTTTTACAAATTGAAGGCATACCCTCCACCAGCAAAAAGATTATTTCTCATTTTATTACAATACTTTACTCTAATACTCACTTTACTATGGTGGCCTGGAAGCACGCTTACAACATATCTTAAGTATGCCTGTTATTAATTACTAGTGGCCCAATGCACGAATTCGTGCGCACTGGAAGGAAATTAATTAGGAGAAATACTTTAATATCGCTATTCACCCTTTCTCTATAATAGAAGTGTCAGAGAAAATTAGTAAAATGCATATAAAATAATATACAAATTCATTAATAAATAACAACATAACAACAAAGACATGATATAAAAACAACAAAAACATTATATAAAAACAATAAAAACATGATATAATAACAACATAGATAAAAACAATGACTGATAAATTGACTAAACTTATTCTTGCTATCTCCCTGTATACCACATTAAGAGTAAAAACACTTTCGGAGTACTTGACTAATTTCCCTTGTGATGAAGTATTTACAACTTTAACTTTTACATCACTCGCTCTTTGAACTTGAGAGAAAGCAACATGTAACTGACCATGTCCAAAAATGGGTCCAGGTAGGAATATTCCTACTCTGTCTAGAGTTTGTTCTTGTGACTTATTAATAGTCATTGCAAATGCTGGCATCATGGGAAACTGTGTTTGAATTAATTTAAATGGGAGGCCAGTGTCAGATGGAGACAGATATCATGCATGCATGAGTCAATGTTTATTTTTAAATTGCCAGTGTGCACCATATGTACTGGCCGGTTGGTCGGTTGGACATATGTATGCCTTTTATATACATAGATGTTTACAATCAGGGAGAAAGCATCTTTAATACAATTATTTTTATATGTTCAAACTACAGATAAAAGAAATGGTTCTAAATATAAACCAAACGTAATTTGCATTAACAGCAGATTTTGTAGAATAGATTGACTTTTATTTTTTACTTAAGACATCACTAATCAATCATGCTATGCTTAGAATATTAGTCCATTTGGATACCTACAAATTATTTCAAGAGAAAATAGCCAGATACAAACTTTGTGGCAAAAGAAAATATAAGATTAGATTTTGCCATCGGTAAATTACACTTGAAAACGTTAAATATACTTCTATAATTATATCACTTAAGAACAGAGAGGAGGATATCATAGGAGGCATATACCCAACAGCTATGGAGGCAGCTGCCTGAATTCAAATCCTGCCTCTATGACTTATTAGTTGTGAGATCTCTCTGCACCTCCATTTCTCCATTTATAAAACAGGTATAAAAGTAACACATACTTTCTAGGATTGATTCAATGATAAAAAAAAATGAAGAGAAGCACCTAAAAAGAAGGACTTAAAATAGTGTCTGGGTTATACTAAGTGTTCAATAAAAATTAGCTATTGCAACACTAGTGGTATGAAAAGGAGAAAATCATGGAATTTATTGAAAAAGGCTTTGTAGGAATTTAGAAATATCTTGAATGACTGGATAGGAGAATAGTACTGAACAAAAGAAGTTTACATAATGAGATAAATTAAGTAAAAGGAAAAATTTTCTTGTGAATAAAGTATAAAATCCCTAGGTCTTCAAAGGAGAAAGTGAATGAAGTCAAAATTTCTGCCACCTGCTCCTAGCCACTCTGACAAAAGCTGCTTTGATAATAACAAAAATAGCCCAGTCGTGTGGCTAAGTGTTTAAGTGTCAACCTATGAACCAGGAGGTCAGGGTTTGATTCTGGGTCAGGGCACATGCCTGGGTTGCAGATTTGATCCCCAGTAGGGGCAAGCAAGACGCAGCCAGTCAATGATTTTCTCTCATCATTGATGCTTCTCTCTCTCTCCCTTTCCCTTCCTCTCTGAAATCAATAAAAATATATTTTAAAAAATGAAAATAATAATAAAATAACCTATAAAGACAAAAGAAACAATTTTTGGTTCCCTCTCATCAATAACATGTAAATATGTTGCTGGAAATCAGTAATAAATCCTCTTCACTCTACTAATTCATTTGAATTTAATTTGAAAACCTGGATATTTTCCCTTAAGGGACTTTTTAAAAATTAAGTCAATAAATCTGAGTTCTCAAAAGAATTGGTGCTAGAAGAGTTAAGAACTGAGAAGAGCACTTTATACTAGGCCACTTCCCTAAAGGTAAGAGAGACGAGTCCTACTGAATAGTTTAGGTCAGTGTTCTATCATATAAAGAAACAGTATATTTTGCAAAGCAGAATTGCTGCTCCTCTTCTAATCTGAGATCAACCAACAGATCAAGAGACCTTACCTTTTTTTCTTTCTTGCTCTGTGGGACTGCTAGGAACAATAAATGGGGTAGATCGGAAAGCATCAGGGGAAGGACCAACAAGATCTGAGGAATTCCTTTATAGAAAGAGAAAAATCACAGATTATTTTTAATCACAGCCACAGTTTTGCACTTGTTTTCTTACTTTTTAATAGCAAAAATGTCTAAGCCATTCAGACAAATCTAATTAGCATTTCTCTCAAAAACTACATAAGGCTTGTGGAAGAGCCATGAATAATATTTCAATAACTATTTCTCACGAGACATATCAAAAATTAGAATTAAAAAAAAAAAAAAAAAAAGAGTAGCTCGGCCCACGTGACTCTGGTTGAGAGTGGACCTATGAACCTGGAGGTGATGGTTCAGTTCCTGGTCAGAGTACATGCCTAGATTTTGGGCTTGATCAAGAGTAGGGAGCATGCAGGAGGCAGCCAATCAATAATTCTCTCATCATTGATGTTTCTATTTCTCTCTCCTTTTCTCTCTGAAATCAATAAAAAAAATATTTTTTTAAACAGTAAGCATAAAGCCATATGATTATAAGAGAAAATGATCACACACAAGGACATTAGGATTGAAAAGCAGGTGAGAAACTATTAAAAAAATAATAATTCATCTGCTGATTTTTGAGACAAAAATATTTACTCCATTTTTGAAAGATCATGCACATTTTTATTTTAAAGTACAAACCTCTTTGCCCTAACACAGAGAGAAAGAAATCCAACTACTGTTAACTCTAGTCCCATCTATTTTCCACCACTATTAAATGGGAAGAATTTTTAGTCAAATAAAAGAGCAGAATGCTTGTTTTGGGTGTATAACAGTCTCTTAGTAAATGGGCAGTTTCTGCCCTAATGAAACCTTTGGGTTTCTATTATAAAATGTCCAAATGGGAAAGCAGAGCTACGTGCCTCCAATGGTCCTGCTAAGTTCTTACCCCCAAAATTCCAAAGCCAAGATTTTACCTTTTGGTTTCAGAAAGAACTTGTGGACAAGCTTAGCTCTCTGAACCCGGCCTCAGCCCCGGAGGCACGCTTCCCTGGCAGAGCGGCTTCGGGCTTACTTACGAGGAAAGGCTCTCCTGCACCAGGGACCTCTGGCCGGAGAGCTGCAGGAGCTGCAGCGTGGTGGCCGGTGTGGAGGCCGGAGAGCACCCACCTTCTTCCCTTGGAGGAGTAGAGCAGCCATCAGAAACTACTGGGAGGAAAAAAATCTAGTTACATTTATTCTCAGATTGGCATTACTGAGTTATAAAAAACAAGCAAACAAAAAGCACTCTGTACTGCAAAGAGAGTAATGTACATGTTCCAAAAGGGTAGACAGTTTTCTAATTACAGTACAATGAAATGCCATGCTAACACAAATATTGAGTGATCACTAAAAGCCTCCCTCCCTACTAAATTATAAGTATTTTTTTATTTTTTTATTCAATTATTATCTTTGTACATATACCATTGGCCCCCCCTAAATTATATAATTTTTTAATAAAAATTTGACAAAAAGAATTCCTTAGTCCTTCATGTCATGATTAAAGCTTGAAAAAGGCCAGAATCCTGATATCTTGATTGCTCTTCTTTTTTGTGAAGGTTTAATTATATAATAAAACAGCAAGTGAGACTTTTATTTCAAGGTATACCTAAGGTGAAGTAAGCTCATGCCATAATATGGAGTTAGGAGAAGTCAAAATAATGCATATGACACCTGATAATATGAATGCAGCAATTTTCATGATTAGAACCTGAGCCTCCTCAAAGGGAGACAGAAAATACTAACATGTTAGTAAAAGGATATATAAATAGCCAGTACTGATTTACAGTATGAAGAGTCTCCTGTTGGTCCCTTCTTAGCAACAGATGGAGTATCAGCTTTACTAATCCCAAGTATAAGGAATGTCTTAAATACAACCTATAGTTTTAGGTCAGTGTTCTAACATATAAAGAAACAGTATATTTTGCAAGGCAGAATTGCTGCTCCTCTTCTAATCTGAGATCAACCGACAGATCAAGAGAGCTCACCTTTTTTTCTTTCTTGCTCTGTGGGACTGCTAGGAACAATAAATTGGATAGATCGGAAAGCATCAGGGGAAAGAGCAATAAGATCCTTAGTGACTCTGTATGTTTTGCACATATTCACAGCATAGTAAAGGAATACAACCCTCTCTCCTTCCCTCATTACAACCAGCACATTGCAGCAGGTCCTCCAATGTCATCTCATTCAACATCATTTTGTTTTAATGTTGATGAAATGTCCTATGAACTTACCTCTTCTTTATATTAGTTAGCCTACAGTAAAACGGGTTTTGTTATATGTTGTTTCATTCAAAACCACATAACCTATCGACAGCATGATGACTTGATGTATACTTTGCTACTTATTACTGAAGCTTTCTGGCTCTGTGAGGTAACAGAATAAAGGGCTGGTGGGGGTTAACAAAATGTGAAATAAATACTACTCTGGTCTTCTAAGTTTTATATTCTTTCTCCTAGACCATCACTTCCTATTTGTGAACTAACAAACAGATAAGTACACTGTTAGCCAGGTGAATATGAAAAAACGTATATAAATACCAATCATTCTCAAAAAGACTTTCTCATTAATCAGCTAGAGGCATATTTTCCTTCCATATCACAAACAAGTCTGCATACCTATAAAGTGCCTTCTAACTTAAACAGTAGCCACAAAAGTGAAATAAAAAGTTTTTCTCTTTGGAGAAGAGGGACTATACAGCAACTAATTATTCTTTGTACCTGTTTTATTGTTCTGGTCAAACAAGTCTTCCTGAGTTGACAAAACCTCAGGCTCTGGTGACTTCGGAATCTGCAGTCCACCTTCCAGAATTTCTTGAGCAGATGTTTGTTCTTTTGTTTCCATAGCAATAAGCGATACTTTGGGACTAGGAGGCGTGTCCTCAGACCTAGGAGATTCACATCACCAGGAGAAAAAGTTGCTATGTTCAAATGTTTCATCTTTGAGCTAATAAACTTTTCCTGTATTTTGTCTGTTTTCCTTTAATAATTTCAAAATTTTCAATAGCTCTAGTATATATAACTACCTAGTGAAAATTAAGATACTATTTGATGATACAAACGTCTTAGCTCATTTCAAAGCCTGTTTAAGTCTCTCACACAGCAATACCTCTTTTCAACACTGCTCACTGCTGCACTACATGAGATTACTGATGAGTCATTTAGGAATTTTTGTTACATATGCTATTATCTACACATGCATGGAGATTTTTAATCCAGGCTACAGCAATGTCAGTTCTACCAAATGACCTTCCAAGGAAAGGGCCTGGGTGTGAATTATTCTCTGAACTTATTGCCACACACATTACCTTTTGTTGGCCTTTTCCATTTGATCTACTAAATCTAAGCCCCAAACCAAGACTGCACACTAGTACTATTTACACTTGTAAGACATTCACTACTTATTCCTTTCCAGATTCTTATGAGATTTACCTACTCTACAATTTCCCAGAGTAAACAGAATAGCAAAACTAGCTAGAGTGCAACTTCCTAAAGAAAAGCCTAACCTGGCCAGTGTGGCTCAGTGTGAGCATCAACTCATGAACCAGAAGGTCACAGTCCCATTTCCATTCAGGGCACATGCCCAGGTTGCAGGTTGCAGAAAAGGGGTCCCCAGAAGAGGGCTGCAGAAGGCAGCCAATCAATGATTCTCTCTCATCACTGATGTTTCTATCCTCTCTCTCTCTCCCTTCCTGTCTCTAAAATCAACAAAAACATATTAAGAAAAAAAGAGAGAGAAAAAAAGAGAGGAAGGTAGGGAGGGAGGGAAGAGAGGAAAGAGAGGAAGGAAGGAAAGAAGGAAGACCTGAAAACTCAGGCCCAGTTATAAGCTGAGTGCTTTGCATTATAAAGTCAACTTCTCTTTATATTCGATTTTATTCAGGATCCCAGAACCCCATTCCCCACTATTTCTTTTTTTTTAAAATATGTTTTATTGATTTTTTTACAGAAAGGGAGAGGGATAGAGAGCTAGAAACATCGATGAGAGAGAAACATTGATCAGCTGCCTCCTGCACACCCCCCACAAAGGATGTGCCCACAACCAAGGCACACACCCTTGACCGGAATTGAACCCGGGACCCTTCAGTCCGCAGGCCAACGCTCTATCCACTGGGCCAAACTGGTTTCGGCCCCACTATTTCTTTTCTTTCTTTTTTTTTTTTAATCTTCATTGTTGAAAGTATTACAGATAGATGTCTCCTTTTTCCCCCATCAACCCCCTCCACCCCACATCCGTCCCCTCCCCACTATTTCTACAGAAGGAAGTTAACAATATTGAATGTTTAGTTATCCCCGCCCCAAACTGGAAGCATCCCATTTTTCCTCTGCCATATCCAAACTTGAGCTGTTGACTAGATGCCACACTGTTTCGAAAACAACAATCACAATGGGCAGAAGAGAGAAAGGCTGCCCAATTCCTACCAAATTAAGAGCGTAATGAACTTGGGAAAGGATATCTCCCTAAATCTTTATCATAAATTACCAAATGCAGGATATCCAACAACCCAAACAATCTGGGTGCCCTTCAAGTTCAGAAACATAAGACTTTCAAAGATAATATTCAGTGACTCCTCCTAACACCAGAGAGGTAGAATATCTCCCACAGAGGCAGTAGGCAAAGATCAGAGAGGAGAAGCAACCCAAGATTAAGGAGTAATGCTTATAGTTACAGCAGCAATAAAATGGCTTTGTAATATGCCTAAAGATAAGGATACAAAGAGAATTCATGAATAATCAACATTTTTACTGGACCAAAAAAATGCTAGGGGGAGAAAAGAGAGAGATGAAAATCAAAAATTTCTGAAAATCCTGGCCAAGTGAAATGAGTATAACACTACAGCAAAAACCCAAAAATACTTTCTAGAAAAAACATGGGTTACCTTGCAGTTGATGGATTTTGCTCTTGTATCACATGTATGTCCTTACTGGGTTGTGCTACCACAGGGACATCCTTGCTGGGCTGTTCTGCCATGGAGGTATCTTCATTGGTCTGCTCTTCATGCTTAATTGCTTGAAGTGTTAGAAGAAAGAAAGGAGATATTTAAAAAAAGAAGAAGAAAGGAGATATTTAATTTTTCAAAGTACTAGAAGCAGTCTCTAATGCTTTTTTAAAGGTAAAGATTTTAATAGACAGAAGTCCAAGTGGAAAATATATACATTTTCCAAAAAGAAAAACAACCAATAACTCACACAAAAAAAAAACCACTAATCTGCAAGCCATCGACTGATAAGTACTTGCCAGACAACTCTGCAACCTTACTATGTTAACATAGATTATATTAACTTAGATAGCTATGAAATGTTATCAAGGAAAGAAGAGCTCTAGCATGGGATGAAAATGCTTATAAACAATTCCAAATGCCAGAAAACAGTTTCATACCCAGATCAGCATCCACATCAGGCAGCCTCGTATAACCAGAGTTGGTGGTTACTGACTGCAGAGGCTCTCTGTCTACTTCATATGGCACAGTATTTTCCTCAACATCCTGGCTCTGGGAGAGTTCCAGAACCCCAAAGCCCAACTGTGATGAGGCAGGATCTAGGAACAAGGCCCAAAGAAATTAGGTATCATCCTACAATATTATGCACCAGGCCAGGTGCTATCACTTAGCAAAAGAAGGTCATGTTACATCCTTCAAATCAAAGCCCTGCCCTCCCCAAGTTTTTTCAAAATAAAATCAAAATAGAAGCAGTAAAAGTGAAGGGGGAAAATGTGTAATGAAACAAAACAAAAAAGTTGCATGCTATAAAACCTTGCAAGCACCTATTATAAGTAGACTACTTCTATTTCTTGAAAATATACATAAACCATACCCATACTCAATAATTCAATGTACTTCCAGCCCCATAAAGCATACATCCCAAAAATATTTGATTACAAAAGGAAGAAGAGTCAGTATGCACAAAGGGGCTATCCAATGACCTGGAAATTCCTAAACACCAAAGTAGGTGAAATATCTTAAGACTACTAAGCAATTTCTCAATTTATGATGACAAATCTATAACCTGATAAAAAGAAAAAAAAAATAGTGTCTGTATGCTCACAATAAAAGGACTTAGAACAATCTACTATTCTGAAAAAGGCGTAAAGCTACCTTCAGCATCAAGGGAATGTGTGGCAACATCCAGAGAATCTTCTTCCTTTTCCCCCTTCTCCTTGTCTTCCACTTCTTCCTTCTCTTCCCCCACAGGAGGAGCAGGTTCCACTGACCGTCCCAAAGAACTACACAGCAGAAAGAGACAATCACGTGTTCCCAGACAGGTTGGGACATTTCGCTCAAAGCACTCTGGAATTTCATTGTGATTCCCCACACACCAACCACCTTTTAAGCAAATTTGAAAAAGTAAAAAGCCTCACCCCATTATTGCTTCTTTCTACAGACAAGCACTGAACAGGTTAACAACTCAAAAACAGTATACAAAATTAAGTAGCACAATCATTAAACAGAAGAAAGAAACAAACATACTTGAATTTTATCTTTCTCTGGAAAGATATGAGCAGTGACAGAAAAATCTTGCACTCAAGAGAATTACTGACAAGTGATAATAGATATGGATTAGATGTGCAGGGAAGGGGTTCAAAAATACATCTATTAAAGCAAACAATTCACAAAAATACTATAGTAAAAAATCTTAGAATACATATATAGAACCAGAATATCTGAATAAAATGTATTTTATAAGGTAAGATGCCTATTTTTTTAACCTTCACCTAAGAATGTTTTTATTCTTTTTAGAGAGAGAGGAAGGAAAAGGGAGAAAGAGAGAGATTTTAGAGAGAGAAGAATATGAGAGACAAACATCAAACGGTTGCCTCTCATTGGCATCCCTATTCCCCCCCCCCCTCCATATGTACCCTGGTATGTACCCTGACCAAGAATCAAACCCACAACCTTTGGCTCATAAGACGATGCTCCAACCAACTGAGCCACACCAGCCAAGGTGAGGCCTATACATTTTTAAAAATGTATTTTTATTGATTTCAGAGAGGAAGGGAGAGGGAGAGTGGCAGAAACATCAATGATGAGAGGGAATCATTGATTGGCTGCCTCCTGCACAACCCCTACTGAGGATTAAGCTGGCAACCTGGGCTTGTGCCCTTAACTGGAATTGAACCCAGGACCCTTTAGTCCACAGGCTGACACTCTATCACTGAGCCAAACCAGCTGGGCAGAGCTATTTATTTTTTTTAAAGATTACATCACAGGTCAAAAAACATAATAAACAAAAGTAAAAGACAAATAACAACTAGGCAAAAATCTGCAACAAGTATTACAAAAAAAATAGTCTCACCCTAGCTGGTTTTGCTCAGTGGACAGAGCATGGGCTTGCAATAAAAATAAAAGCCAATAAAAATATATTTTAAGCCGAGTCCGGTTTGGCTCAATGGATAGAGCGTCGGCTTGGGGACTGAGGGGTCCCGGGTTCGATTCCGGTCAGGGGCATGTACCTTGGTTGTGGGCACATCCCCAGTAAGGGGGTGTGCAAGAGGCAGCTGGTCGATGACTCTCTCTCTCATCGTTGTTTCTAGCTCTCTATCTCTCTCCCTTCCTCTCTGTACAAAATCAATAAAATATATTTAAAAAAATATATATATATATATTTTTTTTTTAAAGACTGGTTACTCTTAAAAAATTGTGTGTGTGTGTGTGTGTATACATATATATGTATATATGTGTGTGTGTGTGTGTGTGTATATATATATTTAATATATGAACTTTACCTTTTTTAAAGGTAGATTTTAATAGATAGAAAATTGGAAAATTTTTAGTATGAACTATATTAACTATATTGTCAGATATTAAAGAACTAGAGGCTAGGAAGGGAGAGGAGGGAGGTAATCTAGGACCCCTAGGTAGGGTGCCTAGCCAGGCTGATGATCAGGGCCAATCAGGGCTCTCCTTCCTTTCTCCCACTCCCCAACCCTCCCCCATCTTCCTCCGCTGCTGGCCGGCAGCGGGCCCCGCCCCCGCGCTCCTCCGCCACCAGAAGTTGCCTCCCTCTGCAGGTGACAGGCATGGGGTGCAATTGCTGGCTGGCCCTGCACATCCGCCACAGCGTCACTGGCCAGTTGCCTGGGCCTTTCTCTGTGGGACAAGTGACCACAGGCCCCCAAATCAGTTGCCCTAGAGAGGGAGCCCCTGCCCATCTGGCCAGAGCTCCACGATAGATTGCTGCCCTGCTGAGAGAAGCCCCGTCCACCTGCTGGGGCCACCAGCCGGGTAGCCTGGGCCTCCCTCTACGGGGTGATCGTGGGGTGATGGCTGGACACCCCCCCACAATTGCACTGCACCTGCCTTGGCTGGCCTGGCACCAGTGCGTGTCATAGCATGGTTGTCCAGAAGGTCATCCAGACAGTTGTTCTGCTGTTCGGTCGTTTGGTCAATTTGCATATTACACTTTTATTATTATAGATTAATACTTTCTTTGGTGTGGTAATGGTATTATGATCATATGGAATAATATATTTTTCTTAGATGATAAATGCTAAAATATTTAAGGGGAATTATATCTGCAACTTAGTTTCACATGATCTAGCACATGCATATATACACACAGAGAACAAATGTGTACTATCCTTTAATCTTTTCTGGAGGTTTAAATTTTTAAAATAAAAATCTTGGGGGAAATGCTATTAAAAGTTTTAATTGTCATAGGAAAAATGTTCATGTTGTTAAGCAAAAAGGGTCAGCAAACATACTGACCACACGTCAACTATGCAAATCAAGTCCACAAATGAAGTGGGAAAATAAACCAAAATGTTTATAGCAATTAGCCTCTGGGTGGCAGAATTACAGATGTTTTTTGCTTCCTTGTAAACGTTTAATATTTCATACAACTATTGAGCATAAGCATAAGAGGTGAAAATCTAAATTTGTAAATTTGGAGATCCAAGAAAAAGAAAAGGAATATTTTCACAAAAATAAAATACAGTTGACCCTTGAACAACACAATGGGTATAGGCGCTGCCCCCCATGCAGTTGAAAATACACGTGTAACTTTTGACTCTCCCAAAACTTTAGTGATCCATTAGTATCTGGGTGAACTAGTTCCAGGACCCCTATGGATAACTAAACCCAAGAATGATCAAGTCCCTTATTTGAAACTAGAGGTCTGGTGCACAGATTCATGCACCAGTGGGGTCCCCAGGCCTGGCCTGTGGGGATCAGTGGACCTCCACGCTGCTGCAGCCCGGCCTTAACCACTAACTCATGGGGGAGGAGGGGCACGCAGGGGGAGTACTGCAGCTGGAGCACACTGACCACCAGGGGACAGCTCCTGCGTTGAGCATTTGCCCCCTGGTGGTCAGTGCATGTCATAGCTACCAACTACCATAGGGTTGTCCAGTTGCTTAGGATTTTATATATATAGATAGTATAGAACAATGCATACAGTTGGCCCTTCATATCTATGGATCCCCAACTATGGATCAAAAATACTGTTTTGCACCCAGCCATAGTATCTTAGTGGTTGAGCGTTGACCTATGAGCCTGGAGGTCACGGTTGGGTTGCAAGCCTGATCTCCAGTAGGGGGCAGATACGAGACTGCCAATCAGTAATTCGCTCTCATCATTGGTGTTTCTATCTCTGAAATCAATTTTAAGAAAAAATTTTAAATACTGTTTCCCATCTGCAATTGGTTGAATCCATGCATGTAAAACCCAATGACTGTGCATTTATGAAAAAAATATGCACATAAGTGGACATACATATACATTTAAAACCCATGTTGTTCAAGAGGCAAGTATAGAACATTACTTGCATAACTGGGAGGACCAGACAGATGCATGACCTTGGGAAATACAGGAAAAGAAAGTCCAAGAGCAAATAACAAAAAGCAGAAGAGCCATGAAAGATAGCACAAACCACACATCTTGGATCTTCATTTGTCTCCTTTAGTGTTTTTTTCCTGTCCCCGACCTAAATGCTGGTAGGCTCAGTGAGTCCTTGGGCCTCTATGCACCTACCCTCTCCTCCTCAGTACTCTTACCCAGACTTGAGCTTTCAATATAACCCACATGCTATGACTCTGCAATTTAAATCTCCAGCACAGACCTTCCCCCTGAGCTCCACACTTGTACATCGCTGACTACTTCCAACTGGCAATTGAAAAGGCAGCTCAACGTTAACTTGTCTCTAACTGACTTCTTCCTGTAGCACATCTCAATGAACAGTAACTCCATTCTTCTAATTCTCAAACCAAAAACATTGTTACTTCCTTCTTTACTCTCATGTTCAATCTGTCTTTGAATCCTATTAGCAAATACCTAGAGCCATCCACTTCTTCTCTGCTCTAGCCACTGTCATATTATGTCTAAATTATTTACATTGTCTCCTAGTTGGTCTTCCTGCCTCTGCTCCCCCTTCAGTCTATTCCTTTTATTAATTTTATTTAAATAGCTTCTTTTATTTTTAATTATTTTCATTTTTCCAGCTTTTCCGAGGTACAATCCTATATAATAAAGATGTAATATGCAAATGGTTGTAATGCCGTGAAGCGTAATCACTGACCACAGAAAGACCGGATCACGGATCAGCAGGAGGGTGGGGCAGCAAGCTACAAGTGAGCAGTGGAGAGCTATAGGAGGGGCAGGGCAGCAAGCTATGAGGGGGGACAGCGGGTGGAGAGCTATTGGAGGGCGGCAGCTAGCTACTGGCAAACGGCTACTAGTCAACAGATAAAAACTATATACCTTCAGACTATTCTTGATCCAGCAATCAGAGTGATCAGGTTAAAATCTAAGTCAGATTATGTCATTCCTCTGTTCAAAATTTTTAAATGCCTATCTACCTCACTAAGAGTAATAGCTAAACTGCTCACAGTGCCCAATGTTTACAGATTCTGGTCCCCTCTTTACCTCTCTGACTTCTTCTCTCACTCCTCTCAATCACTCCACCTGCAGCCACACTAACCTTGCCATTTCTCAAAAATGCCAAGCACGCTCACACCTCAGGGCCTTTGCACTTATCCCAGATAACAACAGAGATCACTTAATCACTTAAGATTTTTTTAAAATATATTTTTTATTGATTTTCAGAGAGGGAGAGGGAGAGAGAAATAGAAACATCAATGATGAGAGAGAATCATTCATTAGCTGTTTCCTGCTCGCCTGCACTGGGGATCCAGCCCAAAACCTGGGCATGTGCCCTGTCTGGGAATAGAACTGTGATCTCCTAGCTCATAGGTCCACGCTCAACAACTGAGCCACACCTGCCGGCACCACTTATGACTTTTAAGCAAATGCTACAACAGAGAAGCATTCCCCAAGTCACTCTATATAAACTTGCAACTCCTGTGATATTCCCTATTGCCATTTGGTTTATTTTTCTCTTCAGCCCTATGAATATCTAACATACTATATCTTTTACTTATTCATCATGCATTGCTATATCCCATACAAGAATGTAAGCTACATTAAGGTCTAGAATTTTCATCTCTTCTGATCACTTTATATCCCCAATATTCAATATAGTGCTTGACTCAATAAATATTTATAGAATGATTCGTTAAATCAGAAGAGGCTTTATTTTCAATTTGAAATCATTCAAAATAAAATATTACTGCAAATATTTAAAAAAATCAGAATGCCCTGGCCAGGTGACTCAGTTGGTTGGAGCGTTGTCCCATGCACCAAAATGGGTACAGGTTTGATTCCCAATCAGGGTACATACCTGGTTATGGATTCAATCCCTAGTCAGGGTGCGTATGGGATGCAACCAATCAATGTTTCTCTCTCAGGTAGATGTTTATTTCTTTCTCTCTTTCTGTCCGTCTTTCCCCTCCCCTCTCTCTAAAAAGTCAATAAAAAATACATATTCTCAGGTGAGGATTTTTTTAAAAAATCAGAAGAGGATTAATTATAGATAAAAAATAATACTAATCTTAAACTTTTCTCCACTGTCTAAGCTGATGGAAGAATAAAACAAAGGTTTAAGAATATTGTTTTAAAGTACAAAAGTAATTAATGAAATAACTAAAATAATTATTACAAAATTGAGAAAGCATTGTTGGGAAGAAATCCTCATCTTCACTTATGGAACTTGATTATCTTAATCTGATAAAATAATAAATGGCACTATAATAGTGTTACTTTGTTTTACAATAGTTTTAAGGGCAAGGAAGATGACCTCCCAAAAAGTAAAAACACAAACACATAAATAAGATTGCCTCTGTGAAAGGAGGCCAAGGATGAGAAAGAACTCTCTGCTTTTCATTATAAATTCTTTTTAAAATTAACTTTGCATTCATATTATTCTGTTAAAAATATTTAACAGATCTCATCAAAACTAAAAACCTGCTCTGTGGAACACCCTCTGAAGAGGGTGATAAGACAAGCTGCAGAGTGGAAGAATAAATTTGCATATCGTACATCCTACAAAGGACTAGTATCTAGAATATAAAAAGAACTCTCAAAACATAATAAAAGCATCCAATCTAGTACCTCGAATAGAAAATAAACTCAATAAGTCGGCGATGGAAAGACAAAGTAAAAAGTGAATACTATTTGAATAGAATTTGAATTAAACATTCTGGGTCTAAAACTGGTGAGGTGCTTTGGTTGGTGGAAAGCATGCCTAACAGTTTTGGCAATATACTTAGATATATTATTTGATTTTTTTCCCAATTAATAAGTCGTATTCTAGTGCTAAGAATAAGGAATACTTATTTTGTTTCACAGGTACGAGACAGATCACAATATAAATAATGTAGATGTAAAAATGTTATTACCTTCACTAAAGTGATTCCAGCTAACAGCACTAACACAATCCTCAAATCTCACTCACTAATTCACAAAAATAAGATTAATCCCTTTATCTTTGGGATGAGTCAAAGGTACAGACAAAAGAACTGATCCATTAATAAAGGTAAATAAATTTCTTCAAACACTAGTATACCTGCTTGTCCTGTTTGGCTGAGGCAACTGTTCAATGACCTGACTCATGGAACCACATGTATCCAAATGAGAAGAATCCATAGGGTCTGAAAAATACAAGAGGATATTAGCACAAAAGGCATTTACCACTAAACTTTAATGCAAATTCAGGAATGCAACCATGCAAACCTAATCAGCTACATTACAGAAAACCAACCTTCTGCATGCCTACCATGCACCAGATAGCTACTGTGCTAGACTTCCTTACATACAACCGCCACAACCACGTTTAAATCCGCCCAGCTCAAACAAGTGCACCCTGGCAAAATGGGACTGACAGTCTGAAACACCTCACCTGCAGCTTTGTCTTCTTTCAGATGTTCATTGAGCCCACTTTTACCGTCTCCTTGTTCTCCAGCTGATTGTTCAGGGTTGGACACAACATCCTAGAAAACAGACATGCGTAATATCCCCACTACAGATGAAATCATTTAAAATGAGACATATTTTTTGTGAATACAGTGATTCCATTTTTTTTCAACTAATTGTACCCAAAAGACCTGAGTACTTCTATTTGCTGGTTGGTCTAGATTATGGGAAGGGGGAGGGGCGGAATCTGCTCAATCATTTTCAAACAAGGTATCACTCACCAACACAGGGTTCTCTTTGTGTGTCTGCAAATTGGGAAGGTGTCGAGAGAGCACACTGAAGTGAGAACCAGAATCATCTTCTAGAACCTGGCTTTCAGGCTGGGAATCTTCAATGATCAGGCAAGGAGTGTCTTGCTGAGAGAAATCTGAATCCAGCTGACTTCCAGTAGGGTCCATCTGCTCCCCTGGAATGGAGTAACAAAAGATCAGTTCTATGCAACCTACTAGCCTCCCTCACGCAGTTTGAGCTTAAATAATGGGGCGGGAAGTACAGGAGTTGGGGAAAAGGGGACCACCCTAGAGCTCTTTCAATTAAAACAGGATGATCTTGCAAGCACTTTCCCCATCATACTTCCCAAGATCCGATTCCTCATGACTTACAATCAGCCTGCCTGTCCTCTCTCCCTCTCCTTCTCCATCACCTTCCCGTAGACACCCTTTCCCCTCCTTCCTAACCTCGTCTCTTCCCGCCCCTTTTTCCACCCCCCCACAACTCTCCCTTCTTCCCTCTGGCGCCTCTACCACCCCCAAAAGGTTGCTCTGCCATCTCTGTTCGCCAGAACCCCCACAGCCCTTCACGCTTGCTCGCGACCACTCAGCCTTCCTAGCTCCTGCTTCCCCACCCCCTCCGCGGGGCCCTCCAACCCTTTCCCAGTCACCGCCGCCATGCTTGCCACCCCGCCCCCTCCGGTCAGCCATTCCTCCAGACCCCAAAGCCGAGACTTCCGAGCTGACTGCACCCCCGCTCTCCCCCAGACAGTACCGGGCATCTCGGCGGGAGGTCCCTCGCGCTCCAGTGAGAGATCTCTGCACGCTCCCCGGGTCCCTCCAGCTCTATCCCCAGATTGTCGCTGTCGCCACCGCCGCCACCGGCCTCGAACTCCGCCTTTTCCCGCGCGTCACTCGGTACCGGCTTGCCCATTCGCTGTGGCTTCCTGCCACTCAAAAAATCCTGCGGATGATTGGTGAATGAGGCATAGCGCCCCGCCCCGCGCAAGAAAAAGGAACCCGGCGGCGTGTTTCCATGGCAGCATGGACCTTGCAGGCCCTCCCCCTTGTAGAACCTTAGAATGACAGTATCCTTGAACCGAAGGGACCTTCAGAGGGCGTGAAATATATTCCCTAGCCTCCAGGACAATTGTTTATACCACTACTCAGAAAATAAAAATAAAAAAAATGCTTTTGTCCTTCGTGCACTTAAAACCCCTTCTCTGACTCTCTTCAGTGGAAAGAAGAGGGTTTCCCCGGCTGTCTAATGAAAGGGCAAAGAAAAGGATCCAGGACGGCTGGGATTCCTGAGCTGATGGAACTGGAGAGAGAAGACTCTTTGGGGTCTACCTGTGTCAATCAGGATCACTTTTGTGGTCCTCTACCTGGATTCAAGACCCTCACATTGCATCTCTGCCAGCTCGTCTTCTCCCTTCTCTCCCTCCACCTCCCCCATTTACATTGTCTAAGGACCCCAGGAAACCATATTTTTTCTATTGCCATTTCCTGTCTGGAACTTAGTTCATGCTTCATATTTGCTGATCATTACCCCATCATGTATGGGATTGTAGCCTATGAGTCTGTAGCCCCAGACAATCCTCCCGTCTCTGAGAGAATCGAACGCAGTGATTCTCAGTCTCCGGGGTGAGGCAAACAGCTGCTGCCCCTTTAACAATATGACCTCAAAGATACCTCCAAGACCTGAGTCTATTATCCTAATTATGGTGCCGGGATTTTATAGAAGGTGTAGCAGCTGTGACTTGTATTAATGAAGTAGGCCCCAGAGGAATATGGTTTTTGTTGATTTGATGTTGTTGTTTTTTAAGTGGTTGCATCTGAGATGGATTTCTACACAAGAGTAGCTGTCAGAAAGGAAAGCACCTAGCACCGTGCCAAGCATATACATAGTAGGCATTCACTAGGAGATAGTTTCCTCTCTCTACCCCAGGCTCAGAATGACTTAGACACAGCCCAACCATGATTCTCCCATCCTATTACACCCCAACTCAGCATTCAATATAGGCTAAGCTAAAATGGAGCTGCCTACCAACCAATCTTCACCCTGCTCTTATAAATTACAGTGATCATCTTTTTCAAACTAAAAATCAAAGGATGTCATCGGAGCATGTGTTACTTATTTCAGACAGACTCTGAAACAAAAATTTCCTGAAAATTCTATTGTAGAATTTATTATTGCTTATAACTATAATATAATTAGGGTCCCCAGAATATTTTACCGTATTAGTGGAGCAAAGACGGAATAGAACATACAGATTCATGCCACTTCTTCACCTTGAAGTTTATAATTGACACCTCTCCTCCTCCACTCCTAATGCTGCAGAAGACAGGTGACCAAATAAATAAAATCTTAAAAGGACCAAGTCAAGTTACTATTCAGTAACTTCACTAGGTAGACAAAGTGAATTCATCTACTCAGTTTGAGAGGACACAAACAACTGGCTTCTGTGTGGGGCAAATTTTGACCTTGAATCCCATAAAAATCTCCCAAAAGTCACTGTATTTTTGCTCTCCTTTATCCTGCTATTGCATTTCTCCTCTCCAAGCAAAAACATAAACAGGCCTTCCTGATTATTTGACAAACAACTGTGTTTGTCAAGTCTTGTAAGCTATACACTAAAAAGGATAAACTAAACCTTGATAAACATAACTAAAAAAAAATAGATAAACAGCCAAAGCCGGTTTGGCTCAGTGGTAGAGCGTCGGTCTGCGGACTGAAAGGTCCCAGGTTTGATTCCGGTCAAGGGCATGTACGTTGGTTGCGGGCACATCTCCGGTAGGGGGTGTGCAAGAGGCAGCTGGTCGATGTTTCTCTCTCATCAACGTTTCTAGCTCTCTATCTCTCTCCCTTCCTCTCTGTAAAAGATCAATAAAATATATTTAAAAAAATAGATAAACAAATAAGTGAGCCAGAGCCATTACCATTACTAAATAAAACAAGAGCCTTGCCCAGCTGGTAGGGCTCAGTGGTTGAGCATCAACCTATGAACAAGCAGGTTTAATCCCCAGTGTGGTTTGTGCAGGAGACAATGGTCAATGATTCCTTCTCATCATTGATGTTTCTATCTGTCTCTCCCTTTAAAAAAAATTTTTTTTTAAATAAAAATTAAAGGTTGAAAGTTCTTTTTTTATTTTATTTTTTTAAATATATTTTATTGATTTTTTACAGAGAGAAAGGGAGAGAAATAGAGAGCTAGAAACATCAATGAGAAAGAAACATCGACCAGCTGTCTCGTGCACACCCCCTACGGGGAATGTGCCCGCAACCAATGTACATGCCCTTGTCCGGAATCGAACCTGGGACCTTTCAGTCCACAGACCGACGCTCTACCACTGAGCCAAACCAGCTTGGACAAAAGTTCTTTATTTTAAAAAAAAACAAAAACTAATAAAAAATAAGAGCCTTAAAAACTGTGAAGAAAAACTGTGAATTGCTTGTTAGACAGTATGACAATTAAATTAATTGCCACCCATAAATATCAGAAAATGCAGGAAGATGGTCAGCCACTGGGGCTGTAACTGATTGCAATTGGGTGAGCTAAAGGCCTTTATTGATTCTTAGGCTGAAAAGAACTGTCCGCACACCTTTCTACAGGTGCATCTTTACCTAAAACACCTCAGATTGAGAGAAATCTCACCTACCTCTAAAGCCCTTCCAGACAAGAAAATTCCACCAGACTCTGTGTTGACTCATTTTAGAGTTTAACAAACCTCATTATCAAAAATTTCTTCCCATAAGGCTGGGATCATCTCATCTTGTCCAATAATTCCACAATATGTTTCAACCAATAAAAAAATAAACAAATGCTATATGCTTAGTCATTTTCTGAGGTTTCCTCACAGACTTCTCTAAACACAAAAACGTCAAACATTAATTTTACCTCAGAAACTATCCACCAACACTTACATTTGCTTCATGGTTTTCCTTTGGAAACTCATAGTTTGGCAGCTCAGTGGCAGAGAACTTTACTGAGGATCTGACAAGTAGTAAATTTAACAATAAGTTATTATACATCTCTTTTAAGCTTCAATATTAAAGTATTACATAGTGACTTATATTTAACAGGTAATTATGAACTTCTAATACACAGTCATATACCAATGATACAATTAATTAATAACATGTATTAAATTTTAAAATGTGGCAGGTATTGTATTCTGTTTTACATTCATTAGCTCACCAAAAAGCCTCATAACTCTTTGAAGGTTACAGATGAGGATACTAGGTTAGAGCAGCGATTTTCAACTGGTGTGCTGTGAGAATTTAAAAAATATATATTTTTACTAGAGGGCTGATGCACAAAGATTTGTGCAAGAATGGGCCTTCCTTACCCTGACTGTCAGCACCACCTTTGCTCCAGCCAGAGCCACCTTTTCACCTTCCCACGCTGCCCAGAGGTCTGAAGTGGCTAGTGAGGTGCAGAACTCCTGCCCCACCTCACCCCCAGCCCAGCAGCTTGGAGCCTCTGTATGCAAATTAACCCAGCATCTTTGTTGGGTTAATTTGCATACTCACTTCTGATTGGCTAGAGAGTGTCATGAAGGTATGGTCAATTTGCATCACGTTATATTAGTATAGATTGATTTCAGAGATGAAGGGAGAGATAGAAATAGACACATCAATGAATAATAAGAGAGAACTATTGATTGGCTGCCTCCTACAGGATCCCACTGGGGATTGAGCCAGTAATCCAAGCATGTGCCCTGACCAAGAAAGCAAACTGTGATTTTCTAGTTCATTGGTCGACACTCAACTACTGAGCCATGCTAGTGAGGCTGCAAGAATTTTTAAAACATGCAATACCTGACTATTTAGTTAAAGCACTGGCATCTTTTCCCTTAGATTGACAAATTAAAAAAATGACAACAGTACTAGCCAGTTTGGATCAGTAGATAGATCCAGCCTGAGGACTGAAAGGTCCCAGGTTCGATTCCAGCCAAGTGCATATGCCAGTCAAGTGCATATGCCCAAGTGGGCTCGATCCTCAGTAGCGGGTGTGCAGGAGGCAGCCTATCAATGATTCTCTCATCGTTGATGTTTCTACCTCTCTCTTCACAAACTTGAGTTAATTTATTGATTTCAATTTACTTATGTGCAAGGCACCATTCTGGTTCCAAGGTTCATTTTAGTAGTAAATGGAATCTAGAGATCACAATTTGGATAGTTGGAATGTTGGAATGCTTATTGCTACTGATTGGTCATTGTTTGGCTTTTTCCAAATAAATTTTGGGATTCAGAAATATTATCCAACAGTTTTCATTTTATATTAGTATCTTTCTTATCAACATCTTGGTTTCTGGTAACATTGACATAAATTAATTATTTGCTTTATTCTATTATATATGTAAAATGTTATTACCAATGTTATTCATGAGATTATGACTATGAGAATAGTTTGACATTTTCTTTTTTTAAATATATTTTATTGATTTTTTATAGAGAGGAAGAGAGAGGGATAGAGAGTTAGAAACATCGATGAGAGAGAATCATCGATCAGCTGCCTCTTGCACACCCTCTACTGGGGATGTGCCCACAACCAAGGTACATGCCCTTGACCAGAATCGAACCTGGGACCTTTCAGTCTGCAGGCCGATGCTCTATCCACTGAGCCAAACCGGTTTTGGCTGACATTTTTCTTTGCAGTTGATTTTTTTTTCCCCTTAGGGTATATCCCATTAAAAATGTGCAGTTAGAATATATTTACAACATTGATAAATCTTGAGGATATTATGTTAAGTGAAATAAGCCAGTCACAAAGAGGTAAATATACTCTATGATTTCACTTATATGACCTACTTAGAGTAGTTAAACCATAGAGACAGAAAATAAGTAGAATGGTGGTTACAGGGGCTGGAGGTAGGGGGCAAATAAGGAGTTATTGTTTAATAGGTATAGACTTTCAGTTTTATAAGATAAAAAGAAGTATGGAGATGGATGGTGGTGAT